AATTTCACATTCCTTTTACAGCCAGTTTAGTGGTGGGGTGGCCTGGGTGACTCAGTCATTAAGGCCAGTTTAGTGGTGATTAACTCTTTTATTTTTTGTTTGGAAAACTTTACTCTCCTTTAATTCTGAATAACTCTGCCACATAAAATTGGCTGGAAGTTTTTTTTTTTTTCCTGCACTTTGACTATATTGAGCCACTGTCTTCTGACCTACAAAGTATCTGCTAAAAAAATCTCATGAGGGTTCCTTGTATGTAACAAGTTGATTTTCTACTGTTTTTAAGATATACTCCTTGTCTTTAAGTTTCAACATTTTAATTATAAGAATCTCAGTGATGGTTTCTTTGTGTTGCTTATTTTGAATTCTCTGTGCTTCCTGAATCTGGATATTGGTTTCTTCTCCGGGTTAGGGATGTTTTCAGCCATAGTTTCTTCACGTAAGTTTTTTGCTGCTTTTCTCCTCTGAGGCTCCAAATAATTTGAATATTTGTTGGCTTGGTGTTGTCCCATAAGTTCCTTGAGCTATCTTCACTTTTATTTTATTTTTTTGATGCTCTGATTGGATGAATTCCACTATCCTGTCTTTGAGTTCACCAATCCTTTCTTCTGTATCATCTAGTCTCCTATTGAACCCTTCTAGTGTTATTTTTCAGTTCAGTTAATATATTCCTCAGCTCTGTGACTTGTATTTGGTACCCTGAATATTTATATTTTCTTTTTGAAGTTTTCACTGTGTTTATCCATTCTTTCAAGGTCTGTGAGCATCTTTGTCACCATTACTTACTTTGAACTCTATTAGGTAAATTTTTTCATTAAGGTTTTTATCCTGAGGTTTTATCTTATTCTCCTGTTTGGAACATATTCCTCTGGTTTCTTCATTCTGTCTTGGTTTGTGTGCCTCAGTTTTAACAACTGCCTCTCTCAGGATTGGAGGATGGCCTCATGTACACACTGAACCTTATTGTTCAACCCTACGCATGCTCTTGCTTGTCTCTCAAGCCTTTGTGATAGTCCCTGCAGCCAGTTTTATTTATAAAAGCTCCCAGGAGTTGAGTGTGCCAAGACTGGTCAGTGTCCTAGAGAGGGGAGTATCTGAGTCAGCACTTAAAAGATTCAGGCTGATGGAAGCCAGACCTTCAGGCAGCAGCTTTTAACATATATAAATATCCACTAGGACCACAAGCAGAAGCCCCCCTGGCCTCCAAGGCCTGGTTGTCCAGGGTATGACATAAAATAAAGGGCAACAGCATGTATAAAAGTTCCCTTCCAGGGGATATTGGCGCTCTGGAGTAGGACAGGAAAAGCATGAAGATGACACCTGCTGGTTGGGGTGAGGTGGGGTGGGGTGGGGGTTAGAACTCTAGATAGCACCTGTTGGAGGTTCGTAGTAGGCCTGTATTTTTTTTTTTTTATTTTCTAATTTTTCTTTAAAGGTTTTATTTTTATTTAATAGAGAGCAGTCATGAGTGGGGGACAGGGGGAGGTGGAGGGAGAAGCAGACTCCCTGCTGAGCAGGAAGCCTAGTGCCAGACTCGATCCCGGGACTCCCGGACCATGACCTGAGCCAAAGGCAGTTGCTTAACCAACTGAATCACCCAGGTGCCCAGGCCTAGTGTTTTAAATGAAGGTAGTGCCTGCCAGCCTTACTTCCCTGGAATAGTATCCCAGTAAGTCCCTAGATATGTGGTTAAGTTAGATACCTGCCCCTTAGGCCAACACTTTATGTGAAAAGAAGTTTGTTTACTTATATTAGTAACTCTGGATACTATTGGCTGCATCTTTGCTGGGCCCTGGGGGAAGTTAGTCCACACAACAGGCATTTTTGCCTTCTGCTATAACTTCGTGGGTCTCATAGACATCAGCCCTATTGGCTTTCTAAGCTAGATGTTTTGTGAACTCCTCTCTCAATATCAGATCTTAAAAGCTGGGGTGCCCAGTGTAGGGTTCAAACCCATTGCACCTCAAGAAGGTGGTCTGGGTTACTTACTTACCTGAAAGCTGCTCACTTATCTAAAATTATTCTGCTTATGTGCTCTTGGTATTGTTTGATACTTTGTGCTTAAGGTTGGTGAATCGGTTTCAGTCCTTTCCCTATGTCCAGATAAGTAACAGACTTATATGAATCCTACACATTTAAGGGAAAGTGAAAATAATTCCTTAAGACAGTGATATTATGTGTATTATCACTGAGTGGCTCTAAATAAGAGAATTTAATCAGTCAGGTCCAAAATAGAGTAATTCAGGATGCTTTATGTAGAAAGGGAACATTTCCAAAAAAACTGGGTGTGAGGGAATCAGATAGTTCATGACTTCGGTGCTAGTAGCAACTAAGCTGATTACCAGAACCTAGAAGGCAAAAATTGTGTTAGAGGTAACTTTGAGGGGAACAGTGACCTTTGGTAAAGGGACAGAGTCAGCCTCAGGCCAATACAGGGAATGAGCCAGTGGAATAAATATCCTGACTTCATTTGCTTCCCTCCCTTTAATCTACCAGTGAACCCCTCTTGACTGAAGTTGGAGGACCGAGGAACCCATTGATAACAGTTCATACCAGTTTAGTTTGCCAGGGCAGAGAGTCATGGTAGAAAAAGGCATTAAGTGGGGTATAGAGTGGCAAAAGAAGATATCCAGTATTAGAATGGTGCAGGCTAGGCAGCCTTACTAGGGACTGGTCCTAGAGCATCTCCATCCTGGAATAACAAACCTGGTAAGTGTCCAGGATAAGAGAGCAGTAAGTGGACTATTAATTTTTTTTAATGTGTAGCAAGACCTTTTTTCATTAGCTGATTGTGTATTTAAAATTTTAATCATGAGGGACTGCCTGGGTGGCTCAGTGGGTTAGGCCTCTGCCTTCAGCTCAGGTCGTGATCTCAGGGTCCTGGGATCGAGTTCCGCATTGGGCTCTCTGCTAGGCGGGGAGCCTGCTTCCTCCTCCCTCTCACTCTCTCTCTCTCTCTCTCCCTCTCTGCCTACTTGTGATGTCTCTCTGTCAAATAAATAAAATCTTAAAAAAAAATTTTTTTTTTAATCATGAGTCAAAGATTTTGAAGTTTTGTAAAATTGTTCAACTGGTTTCACAGCTGTTACAGCTGAATACATCCGTAAACATGTAAGAAGAAAATTTCAGAAGTCTTTTTTGTGCAAACTTTTCCAGTGTTTTATGTGATTTAGCGATGATCTGCTGGCAGAATATAATGGTTTATGAGTCATATGGATCTAAAAGTACAAAAAAACACATGACTTCATCAACAACATTTCCCTAAAAATTTGACTCCAAGAAGGGAGGTATAAGAGACATTTTCCCAGTACTTCAGACAGTGGAAGGACATTTTCCAGATCCTGTATATTTATGTACTTTAATTTCAAGCCAAGTTATGAAAAAAAACTTAACATCTCACTTTTTTGTCAGTTACCACTGATATGAAAAATATAGACTTTTGCTGAGAAGGAAATACTCTTAGATATACAAGATGATACTCTATACTATATGGCTTTTGTATATTCTAAGGAAAGCCAGGACAGTCCTGTGAAAAGCTTCTTTTAAAAGATGGTCTGTATTATGTGATATTAAGAACAAATCATCTGGGGGAGCCTAGATGGCTAAGTGTCTAACTCAGTCTTACCCGAAGTCGTGATCTCAGGGTTGTGAGTTCAAGCCCGGCATTGGGCTCCACAAAAGACTGAACCTTCTTAAGTTGTGAAACACTTTATGGCATGGATGACCAAGGCACCTTGCTGAGTAAATAATGTGGGTCTGTGTTCGGCAGGAGTGCCGAGAAACACAAATACCCTATAGCTTCACTTGTGGGAGGAATTTAGAGTGGGGTGGACAAATTCATAGAGATGGAAGGGAGGGAGGGTGGAATGTGGAGTTACTACTTAGTGAATGTAGGGTTTCTTTTTGGGGTAAATGAAAGCGTCTGAAAATTGTGGAGTACTGTGGGTTTGTTTGGTACGGTGAATGGTACACTTAAAAATGGATTAATGTGGGGCGCCTGGGTGGCTCAGTGGGTTAAGCCACTGCCTTTGGCTCAGGTCATGATCTCAGAGTCCTGGGATCGAGCCCCACATCGGGCTCTCTGCTCGGCAGGGAGCCTGCTTCCTCCTCTCTCTCTGCCTGCCTCTCTCCCTACTTGTGATCTCTCTGTCAAATAAATAAATAAAATCTTTAAAAAAAAAAAATGGATTAATGTAAGATTTAGAACCCTTGTGCGCTATTGGTAACGCAAAATACAGTAGTCACTATAGGAAACATAAAGCATTTCCTCAAAAAATTCAAAAATAGGGGTGCCTGGGTGGCTCAGTGGGTTAAAGCCTCTGCCTTTGGCTCGGGTCATGATCCCAGGGTCCCGGGATCGAGCCCCGCGTCGGGCTCTCTGCTCAGCAGGGAGCCTGCTTCCTCCTCTTGGTCTCCCTCTCTGCCTATTTGTGATCTCTGTCAAATAAATAAACAAAAAATCTTTAAAAAAAAAAATTCAAAAATATAATTAGCATATGGTCCATCAATTCCCGTTCTGGGTATATACCCAAAAGAGCTGGAAAGTGAGAAGAGATATTTGGACACCAGTGTGCATAGCAACATTAGTCACAGTAACTAAAAGGTAGAAGCAATCCAAATGTTGTCCCTTGACAGATGAATGGATAAACAAAGTGTGATATGCACCTACGATGGTATATTACTCAGCCTTAAAAAGGGAGGAATTATGACGCATGCTGTACAAATACGCGGTTAAACTTCAAGGACATTATGCTAATACGAAATAAGCCTGTCATAAAAAGACAAATATTGTATGATTCTACTTGTATGAGGTACTTAGAATAGTCAAAATCCTAGAAACAGAAAGTAGAATGGTGGTTGCCAGAAGCTGGCAGGGAGAATAGAAGTTGTTAAATTATACAGAATTTGGAGGGGGGAACCCCACAAAACTATAATGCCTTTGAAAAAAATAAATTCTGTGTTTTACAACAATTAAAAATTAATCCTCTGAAATTTTTCTTTAGATGACTTAAATACAGGAACATTCACCAATGCAGAATCATTCTGTGGAACAGTAATAGAGAGGGATATACTAAATTGTTCATCTCCTGAGATTCCTGCAGAATTTAACGAACAGTTTAACACTAAGAAGGACAAAGAGGAACTAATAAATCAGGTTAAAGGAGCCAACCTAGAAAAAGAAAACAGTTGGTATGATGATCTGTGTAATGAGTTTGCAAGGACAGAGAAAACACATATGAAGAAATGTCCTAAAAGGCCTGATTGGAATATAAACAAACCACTCAAAAGGTATATTCCAGCATCAGAAAAGTACCCCAAACAGCTTCAAAAGCAGAGAGAAGAAAAAAAAGTAAGAAGGCAGATGGAACTGCTTAATTTGGTAGAAAGAAATAGTCCTGGACATCTCTCTCAAAATAGAGGCACTTCACCAGTTCTTCCTTCATCTCAAGAAACTGAGCCAAGGTTCAGGTGGCATCTAATCAAAAAGGTAAGATTTTTCTGTCTTAAAAATATTTTTAAAGTATGTATTGATGTTTCTAGATTGAAAACCGTTCCCCACATGCATATTTTGACAGAGTGGCTCTGTTTCTGAGCAAGAATTTAAGAAATATACTTTGGTTTATACTAGGGGTTGTCAAACTATGGCCTGTGGGCAAATCCATCATGTTGCTGCTTTTGGAAATCAAGTTTTATAAAAATGCTCATTCTTTTATGAATTGTCTGTGTCTGGCTTAGAGTAGTTGTAAGAGATTACCACATGGCCCACAAAGCCAAAAGTGTTTACTATCTGGTCCTTTACAGAAAAACTTGACACTTTAACCTTGTATAGATGAATGCTGTTCATTGTTTTAATAGCCATTCAGAATTCTTGTTTGTAGTTCATATAGACAGAGGATAATTTTACAAGGTCAGGAATTACTGCATTGGTTCTGTGATTGGAAAAATATAAAATCTCTTCCATTATCATCCAATATGTGTTATTCAGTTATCATCCTCAGATTATCTCAAATTTTAAGTATTTGTGGGGACATACGGCAGTACTGCCACTCCTGTCTGCATTTTTCTACCCTTTAGGAAGAAGAGCCTCTGAAAATTAATTCTTTCAGCAAGGAAAGGTATGTATGGACTGGATTGATTCCATAGTTACTTAGTGCTGTGTGGGACAAAAGTACAAAATATTTGCTCAGAATATAGGTAAAATCAAAGCTTGTATATATATGAAGTCAGAAACCAGTAATGTTTAAAAAAAAAAAAAAAAAAAAAGAAACCAGTAACGTGTAGGAACTTAGAGGTGAGAAATACAGGTTTCAGGGAAATGTGGCTGACATTTTACCTAAAATTTGAAGGCCCAATTTGGACTGGGCCTAACTATCTAGGTAGGAATGTAAATCTGCAAGCTTAGCTAAAATAATTTTGACTTGGGGCACCTGGCTGGCTCAGTCAGTTAACTGACTCTTGGTTTCATGAGGTTGTGGTCATGGATGGAGACCCACGTCAGGCTCTGTCCTTAGGACAGAGTCTGCTTGGGACTCTGTCTCTAAATCTTTAAAAAAAAAAAAACAAAACAGTTTTGACTTTCCAGTTATGTCACAAGTGTCATAATTATGTCACAAATTCTGCTTGGATTGAGGAGGTTATGAAGAAATGACCAGGAGGGATAATGAGAAATTCAGCTACAGTAGGAGATTTAGATGATTAGAAATTTTATTTTACGCTTTTGTGCATGAACCAGGTGGTTTAGAGTTGTGTCAGAATGTGGCTGTAACAGGAAGTTTGGTTCACATGGTAAGTACATTGTTTTATGGTGAATTATCTAAGAAGACAGCCCAGCTAGTGTTGATCCTCATTTTTCCTCTGTATATCCTTGCCTAGTAAGAAGTCATCCTATTCTCTTGCCATTTCAGGAAAAGTATCATAGAACTCATTTGTCTTCCTAGTGTTCCAAAGGTGTTACATGTAGACTGAATTGAAATGTGATTGAAGAGTAGATATATTCAAATACGTAATTTTGCAGTAAAGCTTCTTAGTCCTTAATTGTGCTTTTTTGGGGGGAAAAAAACAGGTCTCAGTCACCACCACCAGTTCCAGTGGTGAAAAACAGAACACAACAAACTCTAAAAAACAGTAATTATGAAAGACAGAATCTGATCTTAGAAGACAGTCAAACAGAAACATCACCTGGACTTCCTGAACGGTCCCATTTTATCCCCTATGTCCGAACCAATGAGATTTATTACCTTGATCCAGATGCACCACTGTCTAGGCCTTTAACCCACGATCTTCAGTACCAAAATCCACATGGTAAGTAAATATAAGTATCCTTCCCTCCTTACCCCCAACACTAAATTCAGAATCCAAACTAATATTCTTGCCCTTAGGAGGGGTAGAATTTCTATTTTGGGGTCCATTACTCAAAGTTTATTAACGAATCCTTAGACTAGTATAGTATAGGGAATATCATACTGGAGATGTATTTAACCTACTACTTTCATCTGTCTGCAGGCTGTGACCAAGAACAACGGCAGCTCTTTGATTCTGATGTCAGGGACCCACTTCTTAATCCTAACTTGGTGAAAAACAGGGACCGACAGCAAGCAATCCTTAAGGGACTATCAGAACTGAGACAGGTAGGAGCTTTTTCACCAAGTGTGAATGTAACTTTTCTGTTTATGGCTACTGGAGGACTGTGTATCAGAAGGGTGAATTTACTTTAAAGGCTTAATTGGTTACATGACCACATCCCAGTTAAAAAGTTATTTCCTTCAATTTGATTCACATCACAATACTCCAGTATGAAATCGTGAGACATTTCTAATATTAAGACAATTTTATTGAAGGAAAAAAAGCATACATATTTAAAGGTATTAGTCATGATTAATAAGCCCTAAAACGCAAGACAGAAAATACAATTATCCTTTAATGAATTCTTAGTAATCAGTTCACGTTTTTAATTGGATGTGTTGGCAGTGTTCAGAACAGAATATTGATGCAAGTCCCAAAGAATAATAATAAAATTCGGTGTGAAAGTATACACATAACCTTAACCTTACCCATCAGACTACATCTCCTCCTCCCAGGTCAGTTATTGTCATTTCTCATTAGCTTGCTCAAGCAAGAATAAAATCTAGTAACACATTCAATATTTAAGTGTATATAACCTTTATCACCTGGCCTTTAAATACCGATCCCTGATCTTAGGAAAAATAAATTGCCACTTCAGGAGTGCCCTTTTCCATGTCCAGTCATTTACATATATGCCTCTTGCATTTCAAATTGTCGATTCACGAGTTGCTTTCCCAATTTGTTCACATAGAGCTAGAAAATCATAGTAACAATTATGTAGAAAGTATCTTTTGGTTCTTTAAATGGCTACATAGAGATTATGTAACAAGCAGTAAATCTTTTAAATTTTCCTTTAAAGTGACAAGGCACTTTTCTTAATAGAGGTAAAAGTTGTGAGGTCAAGAGACAGGAATATATACCATGTACATAGTGACCCACCTGTACAGTAGCCACATCTTAATTTCAGCAGGGCCTTGTCTAAGCCACTAAGGTCAGTGCAGTCAAGATAACACTGGATGTTAGGAGACTCCTTCAGTGTGTCTCTCATTACCATGTTAAGAGCCTTTAAGGGGATTTCAGCCCCATAGTTATGCAGACTTGGAAAAGTCATCCCTGTTGGTTTTTATGCTAAAAACATAATCTTACACATATGTGATAGCTATACAATATCCAAGTGAGAAGGTCTGATGTAGGTTTTTTGAGTGGTTAAAATTTAACGTGACAAAGATAAAGCTTAAGGTATAGCCAAGTAACTGAACTAATTACAGGTTTTCAAAGTAATGTAAATATAATTCTGGATTAGAAGGGCAGAGATGTAAAATAGGAATAATTTGCAAGTCTGCTGCACACCTTACTAACATATCAATGTGATTTCAGGGCCTTCTCCAGAAGCAAAGGGAGTTGGAAACTAATCTCATGCCTTTAGCTGCAAATCAAGAAGAGAATTTTAATTCTTCGTTTTAAATGTAGAAAATCAAATCCTTCACATTTGTTGCTTCTAAATTATAAAATGTGTTCATTGCATTACTGTATTTTCCAAATAACCTAGATTTTATAAATGCTTATTTAAAACTTGTAAATTATGTAGTACAACGCTGTGTGTGTATATATATATTTTTTACAATAAAACACATTTTTGTAAAGCTTAGTAAAAAAACATTTTTTTGCTCTATCACAATCTAGGTATTTAAACACTTTCTACTTACCTTAAGACAGGTTTCTGACCTGTTCACAGACCACGTTCTTCTACACTTATGTAGCTTATTATTGGAATACCACTTAGGTATTTTGTTCTATAAAAAGATTTAAGAGGTTAGAACTCTCCCAAGTTCTTCTGAGGGGCCAAAGGAAGGTCTGACTTAACATATCCCAACTTTAACTAAAATAGCTCAGTTTTTTCCCTCTAATTCCTGGTTTTAGGACTTTACAAAAACATTTTACAAGTTTGCATTTCTAATGCAGGCAGTTATAAGGAACAGATACGGTTTTAAAATTGATCATACTTTATCTGTGAATTTTAAAAGTTGAGTAAAGCACTTAAGTTTTTACCACCTCAAAAATATACTTAAATTTCTCTAACACTACTAATTTAAAAATCTATAACAAAGTTCTTCCAACAGAAGCCTATCTTTTGGAAATATGGGATTGAATCTGGTTATGTCCAGGACCATACTAATAAGCACTGAAAACTGTAATGATCAAACACCTCGAATAAGAGGTTGGTCCAAAATTTTAGCAACAGGCAATTTTTACATGACTAGGCCTAAAGATAAAAATAATGCTCCCCGGTATTACGTCCTAAGTTTTACTTATATACATAGTTTATCATCTAAATTGAAACTGCATTCACTGTTAGATAAATCTTGAGGTATTGAGCCAAAATCCATTAAGTATCTGTTGACATCACTGGCTTACACCTGTATAAAACACTATACAAAAGCTTAAAATAAATACAATAGTTGATTGGTATGTCATTTTAGTAAAAGTAATTGGTATCATCTGATGGGGGGAAGAAAAGCCATTGCTGACTATCCTTTTGCAAATTATCTGATTTTATATATATAAAACAGGCTTCAATTTGAAGCCCAGGTACAGGTAACTTATAAATGTAAAACTTAAAAAGTGCCAACATGAGATAATTCAAGTACAATATATGTTAAAAATATATATATTTATTTCAGTTTTCAGATGCTTCAAATGTTACAGGCCATCATGATTTAAATAAGAGGAAAAAAAAACATTGAGGAAGGACAAGAAACCTTTGTTTAGAGAATGAAATATAAACTGTTAATTCACTTATAAGAAACAGATAAAGTCCATAACAACCTATTTCCAAAAAAAAAAAAAAAAGTTACTATTTCTCTTTTGAAAAAGGCCTGGAAGAATCACTTTTCCCCCAACTTAATGGAGATGGAGATTTAGCTCTATCCAAGCTCTGAGTATAAGCAGATAAAAAGTAATTTTCACTTTCTTGAGACTGACTTGATGAAAGGGCATATGGTGTCCCCAAAAATGTCTGATGAGTAAGAACATTAAAATGACTAAACTGATGGGACATATTTAATTGACTGTGATAAACCTGAAAGTTGCTATATGAATCTTGTTCAGTTGCATTGCTGTTCTCTCCTTCAGAGCATACTATAGCAACAGAAGCTCTTTCTTCAGAATCAATTTGATAAGTCTTATCTTCTAATAAACTTTTTTGCACGTCAAGAGACGATTGCAACTCAATTTGAATATTCTTATTTTGATCTGTTCCACGTGATCCTTTGGTCTCTTTCGCCAATATTTCTGAATGAAAATTGCTGCATACTTCTATTTGTGAGATTTCATCCCCTGAATCCAGAGACATATCCTCTTCATCCTTTTCATCGTTTTCTAAAAGAGCTACATTTAAAAAACAAAAAGTCCTCCTCTATTGAAATACACAATTTGTTTAAGTTTTAAAATTATACACTACTCACACAATATAATGCGTCAGGGTCTGCAAGTCCACAATCCCTTAAAGCTTGGTCTTCTGCCACAAGTTCACTTAGTCACAACACTCACACTAGGTGTGAATGTCCAGATAATCCGATGCTAAAAGCTTCTGCGAAATGTGTTCACGTTTAATGTTGGGAAATCCCAACTCCCAGCTCCAAAGGGGTTAATGTCAAAACAGCATCTAAAGTTATACGGTAATTCAGTATTTGACAAGACAAATAAAAAATAAAATTTTTGACATCTAGCTTCACTGGATTATGACTAAACTGGTTAGTTCTAGCAAATGTTTGATCATCTCTGCTTTTCATAAAAAACAAAGTACGTACATCTTTCATTTAACATAAAACCTGGAACCAAAGCAGAGGCCATCTCACAAAACACTAAAGCTATGGATATATTCCTACTACCTTGTACTTAAAATTGCTATATACATCTGGGGAGATTCTGTAGCCCAATGCTAAATTCCCCACTATCTGGTGTCCTTTTAAAAAAAAAAAAAACAACCCCTCTGGGTGCCTGGGCGGCTCAGTGGTTTAAGCCTCTGCCTTCAGCTCAGGTCACGATCTCGGGGTCCTGGGATCGAGCCCCGAATCGGGCTCTCTGCTCAGCAGGAAGCCTGCTTCCCTCTCTCTCTGCCTGCCTCTCTGGCTACTTATGATCTGACAAATAAATAAATAAAATTAAAAAAAAAATCCCTCTGCTGACAACAGCAGCCGATAAAGTTTACATACCCTCAAAGAGAAAATGCCTACTCTGGTAGTATCCAGCATACTTAAGAGCTTTTATTGACTATAGTATAATAAATGAGATTTTGTGTACGCTAAGAACGGTAAGTGGCTTGAAACACTTCCCCTGAAGCTGTTTACACAGAGGGCGAGTAGTTTCAAAGCAGGCATTTTGTTCTATGAAAACAACACAAAACCATTCCTCTTTTTCTGTCTGCCTTAAAGAAAAGTAAGACTACTGAAAAGTTACCTGACTGCGACTCAAGAGTCTCATTAGCACCAAGCAGTGGAAGGTTTTCTTCTGTGATTGAGTTGTGATAGCCCACAAGATTTTTAAAGTTTTGCATAAAGTCTTCAGTACTCGCAACCACTATTCCATTATCTGTATAACTGGAGAGCATCTTGATATTCTTTTCTAAATGAAAAAAATAAAAAGGTTCGGGTATAAAACATGTGAAAACCTACGTGGACAGACAGACGATGATGCCACCCCCATGAAAGTGCTTAACACCCACCACTGGCAACAATACCCTTCTGTCCACATGCCTATATTCATAATAGAAAGCTTAAGACGGCACTCTTTACCTGTTAGAAAGACTATGTGTCGTTGCTGTATGTTTTGAGCCTGAAGTCTGATAAGGCAGTCCAATTCTGGAGCATTTCGAGTTTGTGAATCACAGTTGTGGTATGACAAAATTTCAACCAGATGTTTCTTTTGATAGACATTCAGAAGTGTCAGCAGACTTAGAGCTTTAGCATTCAATCTGTGGAAGTAAGTAGTTCAATATCTGGATCTGCATTTCTAAAATTTAGTATGGATGTTTTTGCTTCAAATTAAAACCATAATTTCTCAATTGAGGCAACCAGTGACAACTGCACTGCTTCAGTTCACTGCCTGATGGACTGGTGCTTCCTAGGAGAGAGAGGAGTGCAGGAATTGTGCAACCCATGCTGACATTCAGGGGCTTTCTATGGGTGCAAAGCCTGAGAGCCAGCTGCTCAGCTTTGTACTACAATCTCATTGTACCTACTGAATAACAATACTTTCCCCTTTAGCTTTACTAATTTAGAATATGAACAAAGGGCATAGGAGGACCAAAAAAAAAAATCTTTCCTTCAAAATACATGGCTCGAAACTATTTGTACACCTCCAAGCACAAGGCAACAATTGGTAGAAACTACTGTTGTCAGCAAGATGAGGGTACTAACTTTGCACCAGTCACACCTTTGGGCCTCATTATTATCTGCTTACTGTTAGCCATTACACAAAAGTAAAGGCTTTTCCAATGCCTATTTTCACATAATGTGAAGATAAAACAAGTTTTTTTTTTTTTTTAAAGGAAATGTTTTTTTTTTTTTTTTTTTTTTAAGATTTTTTTTATTGATTTATTCAACAGAGAGAGAGAGAGATCACAAGTAGGCAGAGAAGCAGGCAGAGAGAGGGGGGGAAGCAGGCTCCCTGCTGTGCAGAGAGCCTGATGTGGGGCTCGATCCCAGGACCCTGAGATCATGACCCGAGCTGAAGGTAGAGGCTTAACCCACTGAGCCACCCAGGTGCCCCGATAAAACAAGTTTTTAAGAAGTGAATTACTATAAAAAGTTAAATACTTGTCAATCATTTAAACCTGAATTTCCCTAAGTGTTCCATAGAAAGTATTACGGTATTAGAAGAAAAATGTTTTGTGAATGTCCTAATCACAAATCCCCTTATCATGTTGGGATTAATGTCTCAGTATATGTGTAAATAGATTAGTTGCCTAAGGTAGTTCTCCATTGGGAGAGAGCCTAATCTAGTTGGCATATACAGTTTGGTTAAAAAAAAAATTGAGGTCTGACTGTTCTATTTTTTTTTTTATTATTATTCTAAACCCTCAAGTGGCAAAGATTAAACCAATTTTACCTATATAACTAAGAACTTCAACTTTAGCAAATCTCTACCTAAATAAGAATACTATTTCCAAGGCTAGAAAAATAACTACATTCCCCCTTATGACTGGCTAAGGACATCTGTGAAAACTGCTATAAACACAAAAAAATAGAAGTTTTATGAACACAATGTTGGTATCAACAATTATATAGTTATTTTCCAACTCTCTTTTTTCTTTAAAGATTTTATTTATTTATTTGACATAGAGACCACAAGCAGGCAGAGCAGCAGGCAGAGAGGAAGGGGGAAGCAGCCTCCCTGCCAAGCAGGGAGCCCAATGCTGGGCTCTATCCCAGGACCCTGAGATCATGACCTGAGCCAAAAGGCCTAATCCCCTCAGCCACCCAGGCGCCCCTATTTTTCAACTCTTACCTGCCCAATTCCTTTAGTTTTTTCTGGAATTTACAGTGGACTTTCCATTGCCATTTTCCTTCTGGAGTACTAAGTTCTTCAAGGAATGTCAAAAAATTTTTAAGGTTCTCTGTTAGAGATAATTAAGTTTATTTTAAATTCAATAAAAGTCACTCAACAATCAATTATGTAAGAAATGTTTGTTGATACTATATAGAAATATCTACTTCCCTATGTAGTATTTTACCCTCAAAGGGAGACAGACATCTATACATACTCTTAGATTTAAGAACATCTATGTGACAAGAACATGCTAGTAACAATAACAAAGCAGAACGGATCCAAATGCAACCAGTGCAGACACTTGCTTTTTATCAGATTTAGAGGAAATTTGCAGTGACTAAGAGACAAGGAAAGAAATTTGAGGTAATAAAATGATGGTAATGTACTCATCCATTTTGCCAATCAGAGATAACAATACATTTAAAAGTATGAGTCATTAATGAGAAAAAAACGTAGAAAGGACAAAGTTCATACTCCAAATAAAGCTTAAATCTTACCAATTGTAATAACTTCTGGATTTAGAATGGATTCATCAGACACAATGAAACCTCCAGATACAAATAATTCATTATATGTATGATTTTTAACATCATCCAGACTATCAACACCAGCAAAACTAACGCAAGATAGCTTCTTTAAAGTCACCAAGCCAGGTACCTATTTAAACCCCAAAACAAAAACAGAAATAAGGACATAAGAGAATGAAATGGTAAGACTCAAGTGTGAAGTAACCTACAAGAGAAGTCTAACAAAATACAAAAATATTCCCAACATATCCAAAGACATAAACCAACATTTCTGTCCTGGGTACACACCATGAACAGAACATTCTGACGAAAAGGGACCTACAACAGACCTGGCAACAGAATAATGAAGGCCAACCTGCCTGACCCTCTGACTGCAGTCAGAATTCAGAGGACAGCAAGAGCCCATGCAGTCAGGAAAGCCTTAAGAGGGCAGAAGGACTTGAGACAGGTTCGTAAGACTGTATGGGTACCTCCAAATGCAATGGAAAGGGGAAATGGTCTGGCAAAGGGAGGGTACAA